TCACCTGGGGTTGTCTGTGCAGAGTGAGGCCAGTCCTGAGAACGCAGCGCGGGAGCGGAGCCGGGTGAGGACACTGCGCCAAGCCTTCCTGGCCCTGCAGGCTGCTCTGCCTGCCGTGCCACCTGACACAAAGCTTTCCAAGTTGGATGTGCTGCTGCTGGCCACCAGCTACATAGCCCACCTCACCCGCACGCTTGGCCATGAGTTGCCTGGCCCCGCCTGGCCACCCTTCCTGCGTGGACTCTGTTACCTGCACCCTCTCAAGGTAGGTCACAGGCCCAGGGCCTGGGGGAAGGGGGTTAGGGATAGAGGGATATTGGACTCAGGCCCCTTGCCCTGAGCAGAGCAACATGGGGACCAGCTGCTTCCTGCTCTCTCAGAAGAAGAGCCAAGGTTGGCTCTTGGGGTGCAGTGGAGGGTGGTGATTGGAAATGACTCCTGAGAATGTGGTTCCTCCAAGAGGAGGGAAATTCATGGAGGCCCCAAGGCTCTGGGGTGCCAAGTGGCAGGGGAGAAAAAGGAGCAGTTTCCAGGGCTGGTGCCTGGGAAAGGAAACCACACCTTGGGGAGTCCTAGATTCAGAGGGACATCATCCCATCATACAATGATTCATGTCCTCTGGACTTCTGTCATGAAGAGATTCCCTCTCTGGAAGAACAATAGTCTAAGAAACCACCACTCTAGAAGCAACCAAGCTGGGTGTGGGGGAGCAGAGGGCACAGTTGGGGCAAGGGGAGGGGGGCCTTCCTGAATGTACCACTTACCAGGTGCCAACCTACCTGTCCTGCACCTCGGTTTTATTATATGTGAAAGGGAAGATAACATGAGCCCTACTTCTCTTCCAGGGTATGAAATAAGATCATGAATGAAAGTATAATTAACAATAAATCACCATCTCAATAACAGCTAGCTTTATTTGGATGCTAAAGTTATGCCAGCAGCTGGGCTAAGTGCTTTAGTGTACTCTTATCTTTTAATCCACACGAGAACCAAAGGAGGATTACTTAACAGATAAGGAAACCGAAGCTCAGGGAGATTAAGTGGCTAAATGCAGTTTGAATGCAGGGTGTCTGGCTTCAGACATCACCCCTCTCCACACACTCAGCCACCAAGCAGGCCCAGGGGATGGCATGTAAGTTGCTGGTTGCAGAGTATAACTGTGTTATAAAGGTAGGGCTATATTTACCTTCTGAGGATAGCACTATAATGGGATCAACTTTATTTTTATGGTAGGTACTTTTAACCATCTCTCTCCCCTAAACATCATAGTTCTGAAATGTCTTGAAATGAGATTTTTTTTCTTTCAAGAAAATGTAGCTGAAATGCAAAAAATTGAGACTAAATGGGGACAACTCTAAAATGGTGACCGTGGTACCTGGGGGTGGGGAGGATAGTCATTTCCTTAGCTGTAAAATGGTGGCCAAGGTAAGGCCATTACATGTAGTTGATGGACAACATGCTGAAGAATGAAACATGAGAGCCTGGTTAGGTCTAGAACACTGGCAGCTTCGTGGGGTGGGGCATTTAGCCCGGAGCAGTGCCCCCTCGGTCCCCAGGTAAAGGGGCTGCCAAGAGGAGGGCAGAGTCAACCTGGTTTTCTGGGACTGTCCACACTCCTGCCGGAAGGATGGATTGACTGTCTGTGGAAGTCCCCAGCTTAGAGCACCGATATCTGGGGCTGATATCAGTGCACTGGGCAGGGGGTTGGGCAAGAGAAGGGGTCAGGACTGTTTAGTGTCAGGAGGTGCCTCACCTTGCCGTGGCTCTGCCGCCCTCCCCACTGTCCAGCCATGACTGTGGCCAGCTCTGTCGTCCATCTCCCTCCCCACTGTGCAGACTCCTCTCAGGGCTCTCGCTCTCCTCAGCTGGCTTCTTATGTGCCTCCCTGCAAGGCTCAGGTGGTCAGGAGAATGTGTGGGGCCAGGAGGGGGCGTGAACCAGAGGCCGCTGTCATCAGAGCAGTCATGGCAGGGCAGGGCCTCAGGGAGGGAGACTAGGCAGGCCGACTTTTGGGGGCCAAAGGCTACGAGAAGCTGCAATAGTGAGCATTACTCACTTTCCATCCCTGTGTCTTGTAGAAGTGGCCGATGCGATCTCGTCTCTACGCCGGAGGCCTGGGGTGCTCTGGCCTTGACTCCACCGCATCTGCCACCTCAAGCCAAAGAACAAAGGAGGCAGAGGCCAGACCNCTAGAAGGGAGATCAACACAAGGGGGAGAGGAGAGGAAAGGCCAGCACGCTCTGTGCCTCTCCAGGCTAAGGTCCCTTCTGCCCACACCACGCCAGTGCTCCCCTGTGGGACCCAGGGCAGCTGCTGCGTGATGGTTCAGGCTCAGGCAAATAATCAGAGCAAAGGGTGGAGGGGGGGTGGGGAAGAAAAGGGATGAAAAGGAACCTGGAAGTTTCGGTGGTAGTCTGGAGAGGAAGGGAAGTGGGCAATCTGGACAACACAGATGCTACCCGGCTGTAGCTTTTGCAGTGGTTTCTGACAGGACACGGGCAGGAGGGCAAGGAGTCTTGGCAACACTGGGTAAATAAATGGTCCGAGGGTTCAGGGTCCATCCCCGCCTTCCCCCTGAAGGTCAAGGTACCTCTGAATCTTACCGTGTAACCAATGCACACCCAGGAAGCTCTCTGTTCTCAGGGTTCCCAGCCCCCAGCCCCCGCCCACCTCCTGGAGCTCAGCCAAGAAGCCTGACTCACAGACATCCAGGAGTCAAAGGGCAAGGTCGGATCCCCCAACAAAGTCCAGATTCCATGAGCACCCTCCCTCAGCCTGTCCTGCTCCTCTGTACGCCCATCCCACACCTCCTCACCAGTGAGCAGACTGCCAGGTCCCGGGACGTCTGCTGGACTCACAGCCAAACACAGGTCCCCATTCCCTGGCCCTCAAAAGAACCACCATGCCAGGCCGCTGCTTTGATGATGAGAAACACCAGGAGTGATTATCTCTTCTTGGTTGAGCCTGGGTCTCCCACTCGTCCCACCGCCAGGCTGGCTGATGGAGATGCTGGGAACATGCGGATGGGCACTTCGCCTTCTGCAGGCTCTGCCTCCCCAGCCTCAGGCTGGGAGAGGAACCCCCACCCCCAACACAGCAAGGGATCATCTGCTGAACAGAGAATCAAATAACAAGGAACCTCCTTAACTGCTTAGGGTAGGAGCTAACCACTAGCCACCAAGGAGATGTTAGTGNACCCCATAAGATGCTTACCGAACATCAAAGAGGCAGGAAGGAATTTAAGGGGTTTGTCTGTACATTATGGTCTCTCCAGCACCCCCTCATCACTACATTTTTCTGGGCCCTGCACCCTTCCACACTTTTCTTGCTGTGAGTTAACTAGTCACAGGTTAAGCCATAAAGCTTACATTGCTTACATTCCAGTTTCCAGGGATACTTTTAGATGGTTGCAGCTGCCCAGTTTGCAAAGATCTTACCCCAAGGCAGGTCTACCTTAACAGAACCAGGCAGGACCTTAAAGCCTTTGCATATGAAGAATATTGATAGACTCAAGTGCATCCTTGAAGGACCTTCAGTGGAGAATGGTATGTTTTTCAGGGGATAATTACAGGCTTTTCTTTCTATCATGTTGGAAACCTAACCTCCAGGGAAAACAAGGTCTGGGGTCAGTGGGTTCCTTGTATGACTTTGGCCTAAGGCCCCACTGGCTCTGGAGTTATTTCTACAATCTGTCTACAAATGAGCTCCCTGGGGCCAGCCCCTCCCCACAGACACTGCCCTCCCAGGCTCTCCTTAAGTCCTGCCACGGGGTATCAGACATCTGAGAGGATTTAGTGGAATTTATCTCTGGCCCTGAAGGAATCACTTGAGGACTAAGCACAGAGTCTACACATACTGGAAGTAACTTTCCAGATCAGGTGTAGCTTCCAAGTAGGCAACTGAAGTCCAGACAGAAAAAGAATCAGCTTTTTGTTAAACTTTAGGGCCTCAGAGAGGGAGGAGATGGTCCAGGCTGACTAGAGCCCCAATAGGGGTCGCCTTAGACAGAGCTACCATTGCCATCATGAGCACGACTGAGGCTTTGGGCAGGCTGGGAGTGGACAGGGGTCTGGGTTCCGGAGTGATGGGGTGCTGTTCCTCCATAGGGCTGGCCAGCGCAGCAGGGGAAAGGGGACTGAGGGGGTGACTCAGCAAGTTGAGGTGGAGTC